TGCATGAAGCTAACCAAATTTATACCTATTCCTTCCTTTTTGGGAATGGCCATAGCTTCCACTATATAAAGTAGAATCACCTGACACCAACATCTATATAGCATAAACTGTATATTATTTCTTCAGTATCATTTGATAAAAATATCCTGATTTGCATTTTTTTATGTGATTTTTTTAGATGCTTTAATGGTTTCCATTACTTAGTTGTTATTAAATATAATAAATGACATAATGCTTTAATAATACCATGTGATTGCATGACTCTTTCTTCTCTTAAAAAGAGAATTAAGAAAAATTTGGATAGAACCATCAACTAGTCAAAATTTATACTTGCTGAAGTCTTTAAACTATCTTACTTTAGTTAGTTAAAATATCATAGCAAAACAGTATATGTATAAAAAATTGCCTTTTTTTTGTTTTTAATTTATTCACAATTAAATTTCTTATCCTACATATTTTTACTTGAGCAAAAGATACTTTCAAATATTATGAAAGAAGTTATAAATAATGCAATAGTACATGCTAAATAGTGTATAAAGAGATATATTAGCATATTTATTAATATGTTCGAGCTGAAACAGGTTTTTTTTGAGACTGCTAACTTCTAAAAATAGATCAGTTATATATCTTTCTCAAAAAGTTAAACTTAGTTTAGTTTTGTATATGTAATTATTTATGTTTCCTCTTTTTCTGACTTCAAAAAGCTTTATAATAAGTATGCATTTGTATTCTCTAACTGAGGCTATATAGGTCTAAAGTAAAGTGCTTATTCTATGCTGATAGAGGTCAATAATAAGTATATATTTTGAACTTGTGAATGGAAAATAATAGCAAGTATATATTTTATTATTTTCTGATAGATGCTAAATTTGCATTAATATACTTGCATTATCTTTAAGAATGCAAATTCAAGTGAGTTCTTACATTAATATCAAGAATGCTAAATATAAATAAGCTCTTGCTTATACTATTTAAGAATACTAAATATAAGTATATATTTGCATTATCATCTGAAAGGTTAACAAAGTGTATATTTATATTCTCTCTTAAAATATTTAGGCAAAATGTGCATTTGTGTTTTCTTTAAGTAATGAAAATATTTGTATTTCCTTCTGAGGTTGAAGTTAATCTAAGAGCAAAGTATATTAGTATTTTCCTCTTAAGGTTAGATTAGAAGCCTGAGAGAATCCTGTTACCCACCATAAAGAAATTGTTATTTGAAGTGTTACAGGTTACTTCATCGAGACAATTGTCCTGCAATAGGAATTCTGATGCACTGATTACTTCGAGTTATTACATTCGGAAGATGAGTCTCGCTCGATCCGTTACTTAGATTCAGATTCTTTGATATCTCCTCTAGAGGTATTCCTACGCTGCGGCTAAAAGAAAGTGTATACCCATTGAGCGAACATATATTCTCCTTATTTAGGAGAGAATAAAAAAGAAAAGATGTAAGAAATATAAAGCTAAAAATGCTTTAAGATGTACAGTTGAGTTGTGATCGAGTGATAGTCAATAATTTCACCTAAAATGTCATTTCATATACATCTATCATGAAAATGTCTCGTACATTTCTATTAGCTTTTTTAAAATCATATTCATAATATAATAATATGTATGCTTATTTATCATCATCAATATTTTGGAAATGTCATAAAAGGAAAATTTGTGGATTAAATCAAAATTTTTTTTAAAAAAAAGTTGAAAATCATTTAATTAAGAAAGTTTGAGAGCGAAGATAATAATTAACTGTTATTTGGAAATGCAGAAGTACATTTTATGATTATTATAAATTTTTTCTTTTATATATACAAATTCTTTTACCTAAATTGAAGGAGATGCACTTTACTAAATTTTGCGAAATTATATTTTGCAATAGTTTAACTTTGCAAATTAAGCCACTTTACATCAACTTTCTTTTTCCCAAATTATCTTTAATTTTAATTTATAATATAATGTTTTTATTATAATGGCAAAGGTAACATAATTAATTTTATTGCTTATTTTCTGAAAAATGATAATTCGTAATCTTCCCAGAAAATAAAAATTTAAAAGCTTTTACCCTTGCAGATCTTATCGATCTTCCAAAATAATAAAACTATTATCTTTATGTACGATTTGAAAGCATCCTGGAAATTCTGAAATATCTTAATTAATTTTAGTTGTATTTTTATAAGTTTAAAAAGTATAATGAAAAAAAAAAATTTTTTTTCATTAATGAAATTATCCTTTGACCTGTTAATAAATAATGTGAAAAATCTTTTTAAAGATCTCCTAACAATTTAAAACGTCAGTTTAGCGATTGAATTTTTGTTTTTCTAAAAATGTTTCTAGTCCAATAATTAAGAAAACAAAAAAAATATTTGGAAACATTTTACCTTTAGCTTCATTTGTATGTTTGTCGTGTCATTTTAGGTTTAGGTGGATTAACTCAGGTTTAAATAGATTGGCGTAACATTATCATTTTTTTTCTCGTTACTGTTTTGCCTGCAAAAAAAAAAAAAAAAAAGGACTCGAGAATAAAGATGCCTTTATTATAAAGAATTTACGAGTGTATGACTTATGGGGACATTTTGTATAAATGTTAGCAACGAGAAGATTAAAATTCAAAGTGTTTATTATAAATTGATTCCACATGACATTGGGGTGAAAACAACGGAGAAAAAAATATTTTTTTATTGTTGAGAAACACTTTGAAGCGGCAGTAAGGTTGTTTAAAACGTATTATTCGTTTAGAAAAAAAAGAAAGGTGTTACATGAAAGAGTTGGAATTTGGAATGTTTTCGCGAAATTTAGAATATAAATAATAAGGAGAATTTATAGTTATGGAGGTTGGAAAATGTGATCTATTTTATTAGGAAACTTTATATAAAAGTCTATTTTTTATACCCTTAATAACAAAAAAATAGTAAATCCTATGGAGACTTATATTTAATTAGTTGACAGCGCACCCCTACATGACATCATTGACGTATTAATTATGACGTAGCAAGAAATTTTTTTTTGCAATTTTTATATATAGATAACAATTTATTTAAAAATTAAACTTTATGACATAGGTTTGTATCGTAACCATAGTATTTGTTCCATAGCTTTTGCAATTATAAAATAAAAAGGAGAACTAATGTAAAATTTATCTTGCAAAATAATAATAAAATGACCAAATTTCTTGGAAAATGCTTATTAGAAAATGTATTACACATTCAATTCCAAAGTCCGATGCGACTTTTATTAGTTTTTTTTTTTGATACAACTCGCATCCATAAACTTTGCCTCCAAAATTAGAATTACTTTCCAATTCGTTAGATAGGCTTTCAGCTATTTTTATAAATGTTTTAATTATATGACGATACCCTATGACGAAATTGGTTAAATTCAAACCTAAATTAATTAAACCAGTTTAGGGCAAAGGTATGAAGTATTTGTTAGGTTACTTAACGTTAATAAAATTGGAGAAAGTTATAAAAACAAATTAATTTTCAAAGATTAATTCCTCTGAAATTATACCAGAGTCGTTAAAGATGAACCTTTAACCAAAGGTAAATATCGTTGAAGCTTTTTTTACCGAACCTTCAAGATTTTAGCCGTTAGAAATACTTTAAAAACGAATTACAAGGATATTAATTCACCAAATTGTTATCTGAAATTTTCGAACTATGCCATCAGCAGTAGATAATTTACTTTTCGATTTTAGTTGAAGGTTTCAAATATTCCGTTAAATTCTATTGAATTTGGTCGTTTATCTAATGCAGCTCTTATGAAAATAAAACAATTTTTGCAACCAAGAATATGAAGTGCTATTTTGGTAGTAAGGTCACTTTTTGAATCAATTACCAACCCTAGAACAAGATAAAAAAACCTTATTTGAATTTAATCATTTATTTAATGAGTTCAATTCATTATAGAATTATCAATGCGTAATGAAAAATTTATTTGCAAGTTTAATAAAAATAAAAGATTTTATTCTTAAAACTGTTGAAAATACTTTAACAAAAAATCATACTGAACAGCGTATCATGTTTCGAAAAAAATTCGTACAATTTTGTGCTATAAACTCGATCAAAAGTTTTTATATAAATATATTAAATTTTACACGTAAAATTATAAAATCAAATTTTTTAAGTATAATCAAATGATAGTTCTATATATAGGGTGATTGATTAAGGACACTAGAAATAGGAACATGTGAATGAGAGAGTAAAGTTGATAATTTGTGGTATTTGAAAAATGCTTAGTCCATTTTTATTATAGCTAAATTAGAAAGGATTCTTAAATTATAGTCAATGGAATTATATGATCGTTATTATTTAAATAACTACTTTTAAACTGCCCTAAGCTTCAAAATATTATTTAACAATATACCCACTAATAACCTTAAATCTTTGAGAATCAGTTTAACTTTAAAGTTTTCCAATATAAAAGTGGAATTCGAGAGAAATTTGTGAGTAAGCATCATTAAATACCATTTTGTTATTGCTAATGTCCAATTCCAATTTAAGATCGAAACTGAATTTTTAACGTTTGTTGAAACGCATTTCTAAAATCTAGAAAAAATAAAGTTTCAAGCAAATTAGAATTCAATAAGATTTTCAACATATAGGATGAGTGCTGAAAAATGTCCATCTTTAATTATAGAGTGTCCGCTACTTTCAGTGCATTAATGTAAGAAAGCCTTGACGGTCTCGTTTGTGATTCTTCAAAAGCTTCTTTGATCTCCCGAACTAGCAACTAAATTCGTAATTTAATATTAATATGTTAATGTAAAGTCATATATTGCAATAAAAAGAATACTTACGGCCCACTTTATAATACATTCGTAAAAAAATATGAACTCCTTCATCTCTGTAAAGTCGCGCGGTAGATTGGCGTTATCTACTTCATTAAGACGGAATTTTCCTCCTAAGATTAGAATTATCATTAGTCAAAATATAATGAGTAAATAACACAGACAATAATAAATAAATACCACAGAAATCCATAAACTGTAAATGTATTCGAAGTCGAAAACTTTGACCACCAAAAATGGCAAGATTTTTGGGTAGTCGCCTTCTACACTTTGCGTTATCTTTGAATACGTTTATAAAAATTTTTTGTAGGTTTTTGGAGATTTTCAAAGCATCTGCTATTTCTTTATCATCTCTGGCATATGGCCTTGAACCTTCCATATAAACCAATTGATATTTGTCTGCATTATTTAAATATCCTACACCATCTGCATATTCTCGTTTATGGTTTTTCGTGGTTATCTCTCCAAACTCGTAAATTATAGATGAGATGTACCATAAGCTAGCCTGCAGACATGGGTGCACAAATGCATTTAAATGTGGTCTTTCTAATGCAGCCAAATTCAAAAGAGGATTATTTGGTCCTAGTGAAAATGCCATAATACTATAAAAAGTTAAGTAGATGCCGTAACTAATTCAATAATTTGTAGGGAAAATGTTTGTACTTACAAAATTGGTAAAGTCCTGCGTAATATTCGTATAGTTGAAACCATTAAATGATCAGTTTTATCTGAACATTGTAGGTCATCGATCTTATCATTCCAATCACCGCCCGCTAAATTCTGTTTGAAAAATTTCGTTAAAAAGTCGTGGATGTTCGATGGAATCAAACTATTAATCCTATCATCGAGATCTTTAAGATAAATTGCAAGTATGTTTGAAGGGAGTTGTTTTGTAAATTTTGAATTGGGCCTCAAATCAATCAGAGGATCATTTGGGCAGATTTCATTGTGGTATTGACAGATCGACATCATATTGTCAGAACAGTGAAATTCGGATCCAAACAATAGAAATAATACTATAAATACATTCCCTATTTTGTACATTTACAAGAAGAATGCGCATACTTACTGCTACCATTTGATCGTCTTCTATTTCACGATTCTGTTCGGAAGATTCACCTGGGGTTTCTGTTTCTAATATAGAAAGATTCTGTAAATGTGTTAACAATCAGATATATAGATAATTATCTCATACAATGCATTAATAACTACATATAATTACCGAAATCTCCTCAACGATACTTTGTTCGTCTTCATCATCAATAATAACCTTTGATTCAAAAAATCTTGCAACTTGTGGGGATGTTTTTTGAATCTAAAAATGAAAGGTCAGTTATAGTATGGCCAAAAAAGAATAGTAAAATTAATTTGCAGAAGATACATTTAGAAGAATTATTTTATCACAACAATTCTATTCAGAAGGAAACATAAATGGGAGGTTTTCTATTAAAATCGAGTTACGAATATATTAAATCATATGATCCGTAATGTGTTTTAAATAGCAAACCTCCCAAATGATTGCTTGTGCTGACTTAAATTGTCTTCAGTATTCGGCACATACCCTTGCGTTTTCTAAGGCCCTTTTAAAAATCCCCGAGTAGTATCCAGTTGTATAACTTGCTTTAAGTACTTCTAATTCTTTTACGTATTGAGAGTACACCTTATCTTTATTGAACGCCTACATTCCGCCAGAAAAGTTTGGTGAATTGAACAAGCGATTTTAATTTTGTTCAGAGCGTATACAATAAGATGAAACAAAAGCAAATTTCCATACCTGTTCTGTTCTGTTACGATGTTTTAAGTAACTAAGATAAGTTGGTTTATTTATCTTTAGCCAATACTCAAGATTTGGTAATAGGTTTTCGCCACTAGATGAGTCTATCCATTCTCTCTTGATTCTCATTTTCGAAAATAATTATAAAAGGAAGAGAGTGAGTGAGTTAGAAACGTAAAAAATCGTTTGTTTAAATAGTTATTCAGGAGGTCTTACGATTTACAGAATCAGGAACGTAAATTGATTTCAGAAATTGATGATTTATTAAAGCAACTTGTCTATTTCATTAAGGTTCAACACAATTATAGTAAGTCATTATTGGCGTCATGTTTTCATGCTTTGTGCAGCCTCACTAATGTCTGAAAAACAAAAAAAAATAATTAAAGTTTTTCTATTTATGGTGTTTCATACCTTCGCAATTTTACAACTTTACTTCTTATCTGTCAAACGAACGTTCGTTTGAATAATTTTAAATAGAAAATTTATGCATCAATCAACATGCAAACTACAATTACAATCTTTACGACAAACGTTGGGTTACCACAAAATGCTGACCCCTCATTAATAATAAAAAATAAATAATAATGATTAAAATGGATAATAATGATACAAATTAACCATTCGTTTATTAATGATTTGAAGTTTACCGTACATTATAACCATTTTTGGAACTAATGAGTTGGAAGAGGCAATTTTTTTTTTTTTTTTATAAGAAAACTAGCAATAACCCGCCGCGCTGCTCCCGGCTCAAATACGAAAGCATTTGTGAATTAATAGTAATATCTGGTAATTTATTAATCAACTAAAAAAAAAAAAAAAAAAATCAACCTACCCAATCCACAGCCTAAGCCGATCCTCTATCGTGATACCGAAAGACAAACCTAAAAAATAAATAATAAGTAATCGAAAAAAAAAAAAAGAATTAAAAAAGCCAACCTAACAACCCGCGGTCACAAACTGAAAGATAAATATAATGCAAGCCCGATTGTATTACATACGGGAGTGTCAACTGCTAAGATGGTATGTCATATACTGTATATTGGCTGTTTCGGTGACAAAGTTAAAAATTGATTCTAAGCCAAAAAAGGAAATTGGTTACGGTATGTTTCTTCGATCTAATGAAAATACATGTTACACAATTCACATTTTTTATACGGGAGGTAAAGGTTATATTTATTTTCTTCTATTTTTTATAATATATTATTGAGTACGTTAATATTCGTGATGTTTTAGCTATTGTTCAAAATTTGTGGATAATCTAACAAAAACCTTTTGTTTGACAAGATAAAAATAAATTTGTAAATTTGCGAATTGTATTAAACACCATAAATAGGAAAACTTTATTTTTTTTCAGGATCGACTAAAATAGTAAGCTATTAAAATCAGGTTACGGGACCCCTCCAACCAAATGAGATTTTTGGATATATGAACTTTATTTGGGGATTTCTTACGTTAGTTTGCTGAAGGTGCATTTTTATTTATGAATGACAATTGAATCCTAATGTAATTACATTATATAATAAAGAAATAGGTTAGCTTATTGTTAACATATTTATTTCAAATTTTGAATTACTCAATTGCTTCTTAATCTATAATGTCGGTAGTCGAGGATAATGAAGTAATAGAATGATTTTATCTACTTTTATAAAAAAACGCGATATTTCATTTGAAGAGGCTGAAAACGGTTCTATTAGCGTTGAAAACTTCAATGGAAGAGGATGGCGGAGAAATTTCTTTAATACTAATATTCTCCTCTTTGTATATTCTTTAAAAATAGAGCATATTTGAAGAGATTTATGAGTACTACACGCCCTGCTTACGCTGAGCAAAAATTATAAGTCAAGAATTATGTCTCGCTATACATACTTTCTTTATAAGAAATACCTTATTATATATAATATATTTATAAATATTAATTAAGTTTTATGTAAAAAGTATTTTACTTAAAGATTCTTTAACAAACGATAATCATTTTATTTGTTTATCTAATAAATTGTTATATTCTTTATTTTTTTATAAAATCTTATTATTGGTTACATTTAGAATTAACAAATAATATTAAGTTAGTAGTTTAGACTAATATTTCTAGTTTATATTTCATATTTTATCTTAAATCTGATTGTATATTAACGTTAACGATTTCACAAACATTACAAACATTGATCATTTTTCGCTAAAGCATATGTATGACAGATGAAAATTTTAAATATATCAAAATGAAAAGGCAGTTTGGCATAGAGAAAGAAAAGCACTTACCAAACGTAAAAAATCCGAAATGGATAAACTTGGACAAATTCAAATAAGGCTTTGCTGTGATACTAAAAATCTAAAGGTGTCATAAAATATAATATATATGGTGCATAAATTGCTAATGTATTTTTTGACGTGAAATATCCGAATAGAGGAATAATTATTATTTCAAATTTTGTATAATTCAATTTGCTTCTGGAATAATAATGCTGTTAATAAAATGAATTTTAGCTACTTTTTTGAAAAACCAATGCGGAGAAATATTTTAATACTGAACAAAATAAATAAAAACTTTATCTAACGAAACCCGAAGATGTTAACTACATTATTATAATTTTTTATTTTTTAATTAATAAACTAATAAAAAAAAAAGTTTAAGGACGGTACTT